ATATCCTGTTTATTATATGACTTCTAAATAAGATATTATAAGAGATATTTATTTTGATAAGACGGGATTTGGGTCTAGACAACGCACCCTTAAGGAAGCAAAAGCGAAAGATAAAATCATAACAATTGAAGATATTAACGATTTTTTTTTTAAATAATGTTGAACAAAAAAGGAAACCAGTAGGACAAAATAATTTCGTAGCACCACATTCCGCATAAGAGCATCAAATGGATTTATTTTTCATTACCGATTTGGAAGAGCAAAAATTTAGGGTAGGGGTGTTGATAATTGACATCTTTGATAAATTTATGTCGGTCGTGGCGATTAAGAGTAAGAGCGAAGGAGATATAGCAAGTGGAATGATTGAGTGCTTAAATAAAATGGGAAAGAAGCGATACAAAAATATTTGAAAGACGAAAATGGTGTTCATCATAGGACACGAAGGCATCCAAATTTTGCGGAAAGAGCAATCAGAATATTTAAAGATATATTTTATAAGAAGGTTGAGGTTAATTGAAAAAAAGGGGAAAGAGAATATATAATGGACTGATTATATACTTGAAATATTGCTTACTTATAATAATCAGATGGAGCACTCGACAACAGGTTTAACTCCGAAAGAAGCAAAGAAAAAGGAGAACGAAATGAATATTAAAGTTAAGTTGGGGATGAATGCCAAAAAAATTAGAGTGTATCCAGAGATAAATAGAGAGGACGAAGTTAAGATATTTAAGAAAAGAAAACCGAATGAAAAAGAGAGAATAAGTAATTGGAGTAGCAATAGATATACCATAGAAAAGATTGAAAAGAAATTAAGGCAAAATTGATACTATATTGAGGGCATTGATAGACCGTATTTGAGGTTTGAGTTATTAAAAGTTTAATTTAAGTTGTTTATTGCTTTACGGGTAAGTTGCGTGTCATTTTACGGGTAGGTTGTTTCTTGTTTTACGAGTGAATTGCATATCATTTTATACCAAAAGCATTCAAATAATTCTAACTGGAATGACAAATTATTTTTGTCTGAACAATGAATCATTCCAGGCTAAATCCTAAATTATTCTAGTTAGAACAACAAACCATAAGCATAATCAAAATCATATTACATAAGAAGTTAGGGGAAAGAAATTATACAATGAACGGAGTATCCACTTATAATAATCAGATGAAGCAATGTGCCACTTATTTAATACTAAAAGAAGCACGCAAAAAGGAGAATAAAATGAAGATTGACATTAAGTTAGGGATGAATGCCATGGAAAAACAGAGTATATCCGAAGATAGATAAAGGCGCAAGGCGATGAGCTTAAGATATTCAGGAAAAGAAAACTTCAAGAAAGAGAAAGGGTAGGCAATAGGAGTAGCAATAGATATACTGTAGAAAAGATNNATTGAAAAGAAATTGGGGCAAAATTATTACTGTATTGAGGGCATTAATAAACCTTTTTTGCGGTTTGAGTTATTAAATATCTAAAAAGCAATTGCCGAAAATATGATGCTTCTTTGTTTGTTGTGTCTTGGCCAAAATGGTCAGCTCCCTAAATATGCCAATATTCGAATTTTAAGGGGTGTTCCGGTTTGGGTCTCAAATGCTCCCAAATTCATGACAATCCACGTAATCTCAAAAATATCTGAACCCAAGGAGCCGGTAGAGGACGGTGTCCTGCGGGGACGGAAGAAGAAAAAAAAAACTGACACATGCTGATCCAGAGGAGTTGCACACGACTCGCTCCACTTCAGATGAGGCGAAGAAGAAGAAGAGGAAGAAGAAGGAGGAGAAAAAGAAGAGACGAAGAGGCAAGGAAGAACAAGAAAGAACCAAAAAGCAATAAAGAAGGAGACATCAACAAGAGAGAAAACAGGAAGAAAAAGCCAAGCCACGAGGCAGGGAAAAGAAGCCAGAACGGAAAATGAGCAGGCGAGAGCTGGCGCAGTCTTTTTCCAGCATTTACACCACGAGCTGTGCTTAGGTAGCATAGATCTCCTTGCAAATCCAAGTGTCCAAAGTGGCCAAGCATCGCATTGCCAGTCTGCATCCTAAATATTTCGTGGTGCCGTTTGTTCTGTTCTTCATTCCCTGCCAAACATGCCAAGCGGCACGTTCATTGGAATTGGAGTTGGATCAGCCCGAGACTACGAGCGCTTGAGCCGTTCAGAAACGAATGTCCATTCTTCGTATATTTGCGCCACGCCATTGTCCGGGAACTTCTTGACGAAATAAATGTTGAAAAGCAGGATCAACAAGCTCATGTAGCCGCCCACCTGAATTACGAAAAAAAACCTAGGAGCCCTTCTGGTTAATGGTTCCCTGTCTAGGCGCATAATGACCCCGTTACAGTCGTTAATTCAAAATGGATGGGATAATATTTTGAGGTTCACCACGCCTTTCCAAACAGGTCCCACACTTGTTGTTCTGTGCCCAACACGCGCACATTCATCCTGAAGGCTTCGTTAAAGTACAGCCACGTGGCATCCTTCCCGGGCACATCAGATGTGAAGCTTGAAAGAACTAGACAGTGAGATTGAAATGTTTCGCCCGATACCATGTTCCAAGAATGCATGAATTGACTTGAAATCAGGTCCGTCGTCATCGTCTGGGAACCAATCCTGGCGGTCTGAACCACCATTGATATTTTCAATCTCTGAACACTGTTCTGGTTTATCCACCAGGACCACTGCCATTGAGATGCAGTCCACACATAAACTTCGCAGGAATAAGACCCTCCACAGCAAAGAACGACGTCAAATGGCCGCCGTGGTGGCAAGTCCCATTCTGTTAAGTTGACAATGGAACATTTTCGACTGTGGCCGTTGATCTGAACATCTTTCGAAGAGAGGGCCCAGCTGTCGATAGGCGTTTTTTTTTCATAGACGGCAACATCCGCACCCATTCCTGCGCCAGTCAGGTCTCTATCTTGCGGACTGCATATGGCCCATACTCCAGCGCCGGTCTTCCACCGCTCAAAAGTGGTCTCGGTCGGCGGATCCGCGTACATCAATTCCGAAGCCTGGTACGCCACATAAGC